AAGTGAAGGAATCAGTGTTATTTGAAATCAAAGAGATGACACCAGTTGATTCAAGATTAACTCATGTACTTGAGACCTGGTGTCATGAGAAGGATAGAACAATAACTGAACTGAAGGAATCATTGAAAAGAATGGATAGAGATGATATACTTGAAGGTAAGGATTAGTGATTGCTATATATTAATTATATTCATGTACTGTACATTGTCATTCACTGTAGGTTTACATGAATTACCTACTGGACAATATACAATGAATAATGATGAAGAATATGATATTAATGGTATGTTGTTGTTTGTGAAGCTACTGTTGACATTTTTATTACTTATCATTATTTTTAGTAAAAGATTCAAATGATGAAGTTGAGACTCAAATTGAAACTGAAAACAAAGAAATACAAACAACACAAACAAGTATGTAATTATTTATTTATTTATTTATTATCACTTTTATACTTTAGCTCTTGACAAGGAAATTCAGTTCAACTATCTTGTACCATCACAAGGTTAGTCCTGTACTATTAGTAACGTACATGTAGTCTCGGGTCAACTTTGCAAAAAATGAAAAGTAGAGATTTTTTCATTTTTATAATTTTTTGATGCATATACTTGTTCATATGTTGCGTAGCACGTTTGAGCCAATTTTGATCAAATTTAAATTCTTTTAAGAACTTTTGAAGTTACTCTAAAATTGGACGAAATTTCCTGTACTATAGTACAGTGTCTTGGGTCAAATTTTGTCAAAAATAAAAAGTAAAAAAAATTTTCCATTGTTATAATTTTCTCTGATGCCTATTCATGTACTTGTGTTGTGTAGAAAGTTTGAGCTAATTCCAATTAAAATTAGATTTTTTATGAATTTTTGAAATTGTTCCAAAATTGGACAAAAGTCCCTGTACTGTAGTACATACCGTAATTTGCCTTTTTTTCGTACAAAAATTTTTCGTTTCAGAAAAATTCAAGTGGAAATATTTTCGTCTTCTCATAGTGTACGAAAATTTTTACAGTCTGAAAATTTAGCTTCTCTTGCATATACCTTGTCCTTTACCTACTGGTAACAAGGCCGCTATAGTAGTGTTTATAATTCTTGAGATAAGAGATTCTTGACCTGGCTGTTCCCCCCCCCCGACATTACTAGTATACGGATAGTACTGGAGATGCAGCAATGACCAATTTACGGATAATAAACGGAAACATTAAATGGCTACTTTTGTCACATGGTGGACCGTTTTATTTTGTAACTCAGTAGTGAAGCAACTGATTGAAGTACAGCAAGCACCAGTGGATAGAGCAAGGTTAGAGCTGCAAGAAGATACCTACTTATCAGGCCGTACCTTAGTCTTTCTTTGATGAATTAGGTCACAAATTTTGGTTGCTCAAAAATTTTCGATTGAAATATTTTCGTCATTTTAGGACCATACAAAAATATTTCCACAACGAAAAAAAGGCAAATTACGGTAGTCTCAAACCAAAT